CCCCAAAACCCCAAAACCCCAAAACCCCAAAACCCCTTCCTAATTCCAGAACATTGAATATAAACCTACATTTTCATCTTAGCAAGTTGGCTTTCAACTTCATGCTTCTTCATCAAGACTTTCTTCTCCATTTCTTTTCTGTATTTCTCAAGTTCTTCTTTCTCTTTCTTCATTTTCATATAACGGTCATCCACCTTCTTCAGATCACTTTCAATCTCCTTCTTTTTCTTAAATTGCTTCTTCTTGAGTTCCTTCAGATCTTGTTCTTTTTCCTTACGCTTGATTTCTTCACGGCGCATACGCTCTTTGAGGTCCTTCTCCTTGCGCTTCTTGACTTCTTCAACCATTTTGTCTTGCTTTTCAAGAGTTTCTCTAGCCTTTTTCTTCTTTTCCTCCACTTCTTTCTGCATCACTTTCTGATGTTCTCGTATTTCTCTCTGTCTCTCCTTTTCAGCAAGCTTCTTCTGCTTGAGTTCTTTCTCTTTTTCAGCAGCTAACTCTTTTTCGCGCCTCTTCTGCTCTTCAAGTTTGGATTCAATCTTTTTAGTCTTTTCTTTTTGCTTGATCTCATTTTGCTTCAAGGCACTCTCGATCTCCATTTCCTTCATCTTGGCCTTTTGCTTCTTTTGTTCCTCCTCTTTTCTGAGCTTCTCCTCGAATTTCTGTCTATTCTCTTCACTCTTTTTGATTCTCTCGTTGTACTCCTTCTTTTGCTCCTTAATAAGCTCTTCTTTCTTCTGAGAGGTGATTTTGATCTTCTCCTCAATCATCCTTCTCTTTTGCTGGGCTTCCTTCTTAGCTTTGGCTTTCTTCTCCTCAATGCTCTTCTTCACTAACTGATCTTTTTCGTCATACTTTTTCTTCATTTCTTTAGCAAGTTTTCGTTGCTCTTTGGTGTACTTTTCTCTCTGTGCTTCAAATTCTTTAGCTTTCCTGTTCTTTTCCCATTCTTTATTTCTTAGCCTCTTTTTCTCTCTTAATGCGTAATTCTTCAATCTCTTCCTTGGACATCTCCGCTGCAATTTCCTTCTTCTTAGCCAGTTCCTTCAGCTTCTGTTGCTTCTTCATCTCCTCCTCAATAAGTTGCTCCTCTCTTCTCTTCTTATTAACCTCCTCTTCATACAACTTCTTCTTCCTCTTGGCTTCAAGTTCTTTCTGTTTCTTCGTAAGTAACTGCTTACGCTTGGAAGAGTCTTCACCTAATTTAGCTTCCATTTCTTTCTTCTTAGCCAATCGCTCCATTTCTAGCTTCTTCTTGCGTTCCAGGGCTTCAAGAGCCTTCATTTCTTTCTGCCGTAGGATCAACTTTTGGTCTTTTAGACTAGACATTTTATATTTGGATAATAAAACTTCAAAATTAATATATTCTAAGGGGTTTTGGGGTTTTGGGGTTTTGGGGTTTTGGGGTTTTGGGG